GAAATAATGCAGAGCATCCACAGCTGACACAAGTTTGCAAACACTTTTGAACCATTAATTTGCAAATGTAAAATTCACACAGCTCCTAAGAAAGCGTGCAGCTTTCACACATCTCCTGGGGATCTGCAGTGTATTAGTCAAAGGTTTAAACCCAGTGTATTCCCCATGAATAATCTTTCTCCCTCTCCCCCTCCTTCCTCCTGTCCACATCTAAATGCAGAATCCCCAGCTTCCTTGTCTTTAGTTTACAGATTATGTGATCCAAAGTGTCACTCACTGGATTACTGCACATAACCTGAGCACTACCCGAAGCTTACTTGTCTTCAACTTGTCCAGCATTACTTAAATGGAATTATCCGTCACAATCCATATACCGAATCTGCATAGCTCACTTATCTCAAGATTCTGTGTGTCACCTACCAGATTATCCGTTTTAATCCATACATTGAATCTACATAACATATGTCTTTAATTCATGGGCTCTGATGAGCTATAGTATCGCTGAATGGATTATTTCTCTTTATCCATTATTGGCAGTCCTAAAACCGTTCACAGCGCACTCTCTCGTGCCCCATCTTCTTTGCACATGAGCAAAATCAGAGTCTTCAGCAAACACATCTCACATCAAACACAGCATGACACAATACCTGCACTGACACTTCGTGGAATTTGGAACCCAGTTTCTCATGCAAAACAAATGTCTGTGTTATCGTGAGTTGAAGATCAGGATTGGTAGGCTGACCTCGCTTTCAATTACATCCATAAATCTGTGGTTACTCTAACACAGTCTCTGGAGTCACCTAGACTTAAGTGGATACAACTTAACCAAATTTAAATTCAATTTTAACCAAATTTTAATCAAATTTGAATTTGATTTTAACCTAATGACAATCCCTTTCACAGTGAGGGCAGAAAACACTTCACCTGAGTTGTTTACAAACTAACCTGCATAATAGAAAAGGTTGTTCAAACAACAATAAAAATATATCAGATTCAGACTTTCCCAGTCTTTCTTGAGAGATTTGGGCATAATCACTGTTAACAATGCCTTCAACAGAAAACCTACTCAGAAAGACTGGAAACAAAAGTCTGTTTAACCTTTTGTTCCACACATCTATTCAAAATTAGCTAAGTGGGGAACATATAAAATATGCATTATTATGTCTTGACAAGTTTCAATAGAAAGATGGACAAGATTAGCAGCAAGTGTGCACTCCAAGGGGATTTTAAGAAGAGTTCTCATCATGGTTAAAGCTGCCTCACTCACCCCAGTGTGAGCAAGGCTAGACAGCCCACAATGCACCTGAGGGGCCAGTACTGCTCCTGAGGCCCAGCACCAGTGAAAGAGAAGCCTCATGTTGATTTTATATATTTAGGAATGATTACTGATATTTAAGAAATAAAGGACAGCAGCTACTTTCCTGCTGCAATGCACAGCTAACAAGGCAGTTACACTGACAGCAGAAAAGGGGGATGATTTTCCTTCCTGTAGACGACCAGTTTGAGACCTGAAGATCTCTCTGCTCCAGTGAATCCAAAAAACTGCATTATCCATGAATAATCCAGAGGCCTTTCGAGCCCTGGTTTTGAATATGATGGATATAAGTAAGTTTGAACAGGCTTTAACCAATTCAACATACAGTTTTACAGTTTAATTTTAAAATACCTCAATTTAACAGCACATTTTGTAGATTTTGCTATAGAGTGACTTGTTTTGAGCAGAGTAAAAACTCCATGGATATCAAAACAGAATTTCTTAAGAAATCTCTAGTCCCAAACTTGCAATTTAGCCCCAGACTATCTCTCTGAACAAACACAGGTATTTGAGTTATAATTTCTACAGATACGAAAGGTTCTAGATTTTGCCTCATTTTAAGAGCATTCCCTTGCAGTACCTTTCAGTCCATCTGTGGAATAAAACAATACATTTCCTTTTCAATTAGTAACTGGAAATATATAGATCCTTCTAACTGTGATCTTGAAGCTTGCAGCTGGCACTCTGCAGATACTCAGTGATGGTTCTGCTTTACAGGCGTGCAGATGAAGAAAGGGGGGTTTAAAGCAGCAGCCAAAGGTAACAAAGCAACCAAGAGAAACAACTGAATACAAAACATGGGAGTCTGGTCACTTCCAACCATTCACCCATTTCTTTATCTTTAATAAAATATTACTGCTTTCTAACTTAAAAGAAATCACGCTAATAGAAAATAAAGTCTTCTTCTTCATCTCCCTTTCTTTTAATCTCTCTCAGAGAATAAAACTCAGTGGTAATAACACAGACTTGGGCATTAACAATATGTAGCCTAGTGCTGAGACTTTCACACATGATGTACTAAAACTCCCCCAGACCTAATGAAAAGCACAATGAAACTTTGAACAGTTAAATGGAAAAAACTATGCAGTGGGTAAGATAGCTGGGCAGTACAGCTCCTAGTGCTCTCCACATTCCAGGGTGTCTTATTAATAAGAAGACAGTGCCTAAGTGGGGGTTTCCAAATATCACTAATAGAGAAATGAGGGGCGGAAAAAACACGGCTGCCAGGACAAATACAGAGAAAGAAGTTAATTTAAAAATCACTACTGGAAAACTTCGTAACTATAGAATGACGGAATAATTCTGCAGCATAATATATGTGTGTTTGTACACGTGTATGTGGGTACAGAGCAGCTCAACTTGCACACCTTTGCTGCTGCCTCACTAAATATAGCTGCAATACAGCTGAGCCATTGTTTGTTGGCTGCTCACAGGCTGATGGTGCCATGAAAACCACATTCCTGGGCACTAAATAATCAGCCTGCCTGACCCCCCAAGAATCTGTAAGTCAAATTCATTTACCCCCAGAGGGCAATGCTCCATTGTATCCTCCCTCCTTTCTAGCCACCTAGGAACAATGGACAATAATTGCAACTGTCACGGCAGTCAGTAGGAAAAATAAACCAGTGCCTGTTTTCACAGCTTACTGCCAAACTTGATCCAAACACCTAATAACCATGCCCCCAACCACAGAACCACGGTTGCACTAAAAAGCCTTAGATGTGAGGCTTTTGAACAGAGCTACAGAACAATAACTCGACTTGTGTTCAAAATATAAAGCTAAAAACCAAAAATTAAAGCAAAGAAAAGTCTTCTTTGAGGCTGTGCTGTTGCTCCCCATCCTTTCCCCCAGGCACGACTGAAAGGACTGTTGAATTTCTCTCGTGGTAGCATATAGGCTGCTGCTGCTTTCAAGTTCAGCTTGTGAAAGGGAAAAAGAGGAAAGGAGAAAAAAGATTGCCCTCCAAAAGAACAAGATCATAGGCGCTGGGAACAGACCACCTTCTCAGCACACAGCACTCTTCAGAGCAGCTCTACTGAGTCCAAAGGCACTGGAGAATCACTGGGAGTCCTTCTAAAGGTTCCAGTGTGTCAAGAGTTAAAGAGGCTCCATACAGTGTGCAAGGTCTGCTGAAATACATACCCAGAAGTGGGTATGAAAGATGCCTCCTCATACTTTGTCCCTGAAACATCTTAAAGATTCATCAGTTCATGGCAAAGGATGATGTCATTTTGAAACAATGTGCTTTTAAAACCCACAACTCCCAGGTAAGCCCAGTGGCTGCTCTTCCTCTTTATGACCTGTTGCTTCACACACATGGGGCAGGAATGAAGAACCCAGGGTTTTGCCCTCTGTATAACAATAATAATCATCATCACCACCACAACAACAACATCATCTCAGCCTACTGGGGGCTGGAGTACCATATTCTAAGTTATTCTACTTATGTAATGAATATATATTTTTGATTTACAGCCTCCTAGGGAGAAGCCTGGGGAAACAAGTGGCATATTTTCCTGCTTGGGTAAGTCAGTGGAATAGCACAAGCTAATGCTGGTGGCTTATCGGTGACAGGCTGGAAGGCCCATATAATTAAAATAACACTTTTTTTGCATGTGCACCAACCCATTAACCTGTGAGAGCATGTTGTATTGCATGCCTTATTGAATACTGCCAACCTCTTGTGCATGTGGTCCTTAAACCTGTTGGGCTTGGGAGGTTTGGGAGCCTGCCTGAGTGGGGATCCCTACATCAGGGACAACATTAGTAAGTAAATATACCAAAAAAATGCAGAGAAACTAAATCCAGTTTATAAACACCAGAAAAGAGTTTCATTTTAATTTCATCCTACTTTCACATTTCCAAAACAGCACTGACTTGGATTTTGCTACTCCAGATGTACACTGATATAAATGAGAGAAGAATCAGAGTCACTGTTTCTTTTCAGAGTGATAATGGCTGCTCTGAAAACTTACAATTTTTGACATGTGTATTTTGAGTGAGTTCCTCATCATAAGCACTGCAGAGGAATTATAAAAATATTAAATTACATGAAAACAAACAACCACAGGTTCCCTAAAATGACCTCAGATATATAAAATGGGGAAATATCTTGGCAAAGCAGGAACTACTGCTGCTGGAGAGTGGTCAAATTTTGTCATTTTCCTTCTGGAGTACGGCTTTAAAAGAACATGCTTTAGTGCACAGATGTTGTACGCTGTCTTTTAAAATCTGCACTGGCTAATTTCAGTACCTAGAGGTATCATTACACAAACTTTGCTCTTTTTATTTTTCCCTACGTGCGAAAAAAAGTAAAAAATAAAAACTAAAAAATTTACATCATCAAAATCTGTCCAAAAATAAACAAAGAATTCAGATCACCCTCAAATTTCAGAAACTGATACCACATATGTCTGATACTTTTTTTTCCCAATCCAGCAATAGGATGTGTTCGTTTATAATAGAGAACAATATATGCAACAAAAGCTTAATGTAAATTCATTCACTTAGGCCAATATACCATTTCATTGATTTATATTATCACAGATGGGAGTGCATACATTTCATTTAAACCCCAAATTACCATGTTTGAAGGGGAGGGGAAGAGAAGCAGACAAAGTTCTATAAAGCCAGTTGTATCTGTATATCCATTCTTAATTTCCTTTAGCAGAGAAACAGCGTTACCTTTTATTTCTCCAAAGTTCCCTGATCCCATGGCAAGAAGCTTGTCTTTCCAGTCCTTTGATAGTAGCTTTTCAATACTGGGAGTTTCTGAGTGAAGGGGGGAAAAAAAATGTAAGCAAATCAACATGACTGTCTCCACATTAGAACTCACTAAAAGTCTATCTGCTAAAAATAAGGCCAACCCTATTCTGGGCCCCAGTTCGTAATGACTTCATCAACAAACTGATAAGAAGGGAGGGAAGAGGAAAAAAAAAAAGGGGGGGGGAACAAAAAAGGAAAAAAAAAAAAAAACCTGAATGTGTTTTGTCACCTGCTGTTTCAAAACCATTAGCTTTTTCCTCTAGTGGAACAAAGCTCCGGTAATTCTGTATTACAATGGGCACATATAAACCTGCAGTTCATTGTTTTTCAATTTAGTGAACAAGTTGCTGCCTATAATGGATGCCTGTCAGTTTCTGGGTGTTAGTCTGCAGTCAAAGAATAATTATGTTGGTAAAATGTGGAGTAAAGAAAGAGAGAGAGAGAGAAAGAGAGAGAGAAGCAAAGAATTAGCTCCTAAATCTGCTACATGTAATTATATCCCTCTGAGTCTTTACAATTACATCCACTTTATAATGTGTGTTTAAACATCGTGTGGTGGTAAGCACACTGTGGAAAGATGTTCCGGTAACACATGCATTATAAATAATAATAAAAAGTTGGGTATGGAAAAAAAGCTCTAAGAGACTGCAAAATCCAGAGGGAGAAAAGGCATTGCTTAGAATGGAAACCCATTATTTGCTCATTTCAGATTCTATCACTTCCTTGAAATAAAAAAAAAATAAAAATATATTCGTTCAGTATTTTCAGGAAAAATACAGCGAGGGTGTGGATGGGTCTGATATTTATGTCTGCAACTCTTGTGTTCTGACCTCTTTTTGTGTAGAATTTTAATGCATAAGTAAATATAAATGCTAATAAAATTCAGAGAACATTAAACTCAATTCCAAACAATGTAATTGTATATTCTTGTCAGCATTTAGATGGGTACACAATTACAATAGCTTTCAATCCCACGATTAGCACTGCATTCAGTTAGAAAATGGAGTGTACTAAAAGATAAGTGTCCCAGTATGTGCCATCTAAATAACAATACCCACACTTATTATCTGGATCTAAGACATATACTGCTATTCTCCACATTTGTGTTTATGTGTATTTGTATTTGTTCAGGCATTTGTTTACCCCCTACCAGGAGCATAAAGGGAGTACATGTTAACTTATCAAAGGGACCGTCTGGCCTAGAGACCATGCAATTATTAGCAACTGGTTAACTTTCCCCACAGTAAAAACCATTATGAGCAACCTTCATTATCTCGTTTGGCTAATTCCACCTCCTTTCTTAAGCCGCAGCTCGGAGCTCGGAGGCGCTGCGGTTCCTCGGGGCGGCTGTGCGGGCAGCGCTGTCCCCGCAGAGCCCCCGCCGCTGCCGGGGCACCATTCATGCACAGCCTGCTGCAGTGCCCCGGCCGCAGGGATGCTGTCCTGCACCTCAGACCAACGCGAGGACAGACAGACAGACGGCCCCGTGCCCGCATCTCGCCGGGAGAGCAGCGACAACCTTGGGATGCCACCGACAGCACAGGAGGGTGTTTTTGTTCCGTGACATTTCTGTTCTCCTTGCACCACCCCGATCTCCTCCTGCGCACCCGCGGGCGCTCCCTGTGCCGATCACCCCGGGCTCGCCCGAGTGAGGTTTCTCTGCCAGAATCTCTGGAACTTCTCCCTAAATCCCATTCAGTCCCAGGGCTGCGGGCAGGAGAAGCCGCGGCGCAGAGCACGGGGCTCGCCGGGGCCGCCGAGCTCCGGGCACCCGCACAGCTTCTGCTGAACTCCGTCCGTCCCCTCGAAGCACCCACCAAGGAAACCATTCCCCACAACGTGAATAGGTCAGATAAACACTGCCCCTTTTCCTTGTTTATTTTTACTCTTTTTTTGTTTTTTTTTTTAATTATTATTCCTCTGTGCTTTTCTGAAAACTCCGCAACAGCGTGTAAACAGGCCGGAGCAAATGCGGCATTTGCGGCGGAGAGCTGTCAGTCATTAAAAGCCAAAAAACCTTTGCAAAGCAGGAATGCGGCAATAGGGATCCATTGTGAGCTGACAATGGGCTCCAGAGCCTCCAGGCACCAAAAGCAGCCCGCCTTACTTTTAAGTCCATTGTCAGCAAAGTCCACGACAAAGCTTTTCCCCCGCGGCTAGACAAAATATTCGCCGTGGCTCGCTCGTAAAGAAACACAAGTCTTCTGTCTAACTTGCCGCCTTAAAGCTACAGCAGCCGCTCGCCGGGGCTGCCAGAGCCCCGCTGCCCGCCGGCATCCCTGCGAGCCCAAATCATCCCTGCGAGCCCAAATCATCCCTGCGTGCCCAAATCCCTGTGCCCGAATCCCTGTGCCCGAGTCATCCATCCCTGCGAGCCCAAATCATCCCTGCGTGCCCAAATCCCTGTGTCCGAATCATCCCTGCGAGCCCAAATCATCCCTGCGAGCCCAAATCATCCCTGCGAGCCCAAATCATCCCTGCGAGCCCAAATCATCCCTGCGTGCCCAAATCCCTGTGCCCGAGTCATCCATCCCTGCGTGCCCAAATCATCCCTGCGAGCCCAAATCATCCCTGCGTGCCCAAATCATCCCTGCGTGCCCAAATCATCCCTGCGTGCCCAAATCATCCCTGCGTGCCCAAATCATCCCTGCGTGCCCAAATCC